CTTACTACCAAAGGACAAACATCAAAGTAACAGGTGGTGGCCCTAAACTGAGATTGGTGCTTCCATGATTTTTAGAAGTGTGAATGGGGCAAATTCTTGGAAGAAGGCGGTTGTGTTGCTGATCTGACTCTCAGCATCTTCTTCATGGTGGTGCATCAGACAATCTTGCATATATGAGTAATTTTCTCTGTGAAATAAGACTCTAATTACTGCCTGCAATAGGTGCAGGGGTGCTGGAACAATTTGTACAATGGAGGTTCTGAGAGCCATTGAACCAAACTAAACCATGTATATGATGGAAACCACTTCAAGCCAGGGTAGTGACAGCATTGCCAGCACCCCTAGCATCTTTGTTTCTTCGGTTCTATGGGGCGTGACTTCTCTGGTACATAAGATAAATAGGTTCTCTTTGTGTTTTTCAAGCACACATAATCCTGTAGTAATAATTGCTTGTGCATCATGATACATTTTTCATCCCTAATGTGGAGTTTTCTTCCTACCTTTTGTGTCTTTTTTTGTTAAAATAGAACTGCCTGTTTCTACTGGACATAAAGGATGTTCCTTAATGAGGAATCCATATTGATAGTTGGGTAAATGAAAGGGGTTTAGGAACTCAAGGAGGAAAGTGATTGTCCATTACTAAAGAGGTCAGAAATACATATGCATTTGTTTGCATCAACCTTTATGGGGCAATTACAGTGAGAGGGAAAACATCCCTTTACATGATTCACATAAGAACTACACTACATCATTCAGTATTATTTGGAGAAAGGAATTGAATGTATTGGGGCATCCTTGGAAGTCCTGCTATACAACCAAAATCCATTGGCCAACACCAACATAAATGCTTTCTTAAGACTTAGGACATGTCTACACTACAGTGTTATTTCAAAATATCTTATTTCAAAATAGTTAATTAGAAATAAATTATTTTGAAATAATGCGTCTACACACAAAATGCATTTTGAAATAACGTTTTGCTATTTCGAAATAGCATGTCCACGCTGATTGGATGCCGAATCACATTTAAGGCTGGCCGGAACAAGGTCCGGCAGGGCATCAGGTCAGAAGTTACTTTGTGTGGCTGCTGCCTGAGACTATCTGAGGCCTGTGCTTAAAGGGACCCCGCCCCACCCCGGACAGCCAGTTCTCAGGTTTCCCTGTTTGCTTGCCTACCTCGATGAGGGACAGCAACACATTTTGTCTCTGCGTGCTCTGGTTGCCCTCACACTGCCCCTGGACACTCTGGTGCTTCTCATGGATGCGTTGCTGTAAGCCTGGCTGCACTTTCTGCAGGCTGCCATCCGGGAAGTCCACCGACGGGCTGTCAGTATCCAGGAGGTCCTGCGGGCGAGCTTCCACCCAGAGGAGCACTAAGAGCCTCCCTGGTCTGCCCCACTGGGGGCTTGTGCCTCATTCCTCCCTCATGTCCTTCCCCTTCCCCTTCCCTAAGCCCCCTTCCTGATGTCAAATAAAATACATGTATTTTCATGAACACAAACTCTCTTTATTTAACAAAACCAGAGTCGGGGGGAATGAAACTCTGGTGAGACTGGGGAAAGGAGGCAGGAGAGGAGAGAAGAGAGGGTGGGAGAGGGGAGGAAAGTGAGGGGAAGCTCAGGGCTCAGGGTTGGGGGGTCTCGCTGGACTAACTTAATTTTCATGCAAACCTGCTCCTGGGTTCGCATGTGGCCGTTGGTGGCCAGGCTGGCAGCTATCCCACCATAGACGGCCGTGTTTCTCCATCTAGTGTGGAGATCATGGACATTGAGGGCATCCCCCCCAAAATGTTTATAAAGTCCATGATCTCCACCCTGGACTAGGAAGGCACCCACCTTCTCCGGGCCCTGGCAGGCTCCTGAGAGCTCGCAGACTGCTCCTGGGGAGCAGTGGAGGGCTGGCTGCCAGTGGCTTGCTGGCTAATGTTTTGGGGCCAGTCAGGGGCAGTGACTGCTGGCTCTGGGCTGGCAGGCTTGGAGCTGGCACAGGCACTGTGGCCAGAGTCAACACCTTTAAGGGCTCCGGGGAGGAGGGAGGGAGAGGAGTGTTCTTGGTTGAGGCTGGAGTGGCCACCAGGGCACCCTGGGAAGGCTGGAGGCCCCCTATTTCGAAATAAGTGTCTACACAGCACTTATTTTGAAATAGATATTTTGAATTTGGTGTTATTACTCGTAGAATGAGATTTACCAAATTCAAAGTAAGCACTCCACTATTTCAAATGAATTTCTAAATAGTGGTTTGGCTGTGTAGATGCTAGTAAAGTTATTTCGAAATAACTTTGCTGTGTAGACATACCCTTAGGCTGTGTCCAGACTCAAGGGTTTTTTCGAAAAAAGTAGCCTTTTTTCGAAAAACTTCTCCTGCGTCTAGACTACAGATACGTTCTTTCAAAATTAAATCGAAAGAATGCGGCTTTTCTTTCGACGGCGGAAAACATCATTTCACGAGGAAGAACGCCTTTTTTCGAAAAAGCTCTTTCGAAAAAAGGCATTCTTGAATGCAAACAGGGCTTTTTCGAAAGAGAGCATCCAGACTGCCTGGGTACTTTCTTTTGAAAAAGCGTCTTGCTTTTTCGAAAGAACTGCTTGCAGTCTAAATGCTCTTTTTCGAAAGAGACTTTTTCGAAAGTATCTTTCGAAAAAGCCTCTTTCAAAAGAGGCTTGCAGTCTCGACGTAGCCTTAGAGTTGTATAGTAGTAGAAGGTAGATATAGCATGAGGGATTCTGTTGTTCTATTGGCTGAAATGGGCTTTTAAACGTAAAACCACAGGCTTATAATAGCTAGGGCTTTAATCCAAAATAAAAAAAGAATGCCAAGACTGTACAAAAATGATAAACCAAATTGTATTTCTTCACTGGATGGCACACCACAGGAAAACCAGGTGGTGCCATTTTGTTGAACCACAGAAGAAGAGAGCTCAACAGCAGGTCAGGGTTTTGACAAAAATTAATCCTATTTATCTCTGTTGGAACCCAAAGTGTTATGCTAGATAAATCACAATCTTCTGTTTTAGGGTATGAAAACAAACTAGGAAGCATGTCTATGCAACTAACTAATCTGGTCTCTAAGGCTTATGCTATTCAAAAGCAAATTTTAAGCTAACGGAACTAAAAGTACAAACCCAAGAGAAGTAAATCCTCATAATAACAAAAAATAAAATATCTAAATCTTTTATGGCTCCTAAAAGAAAAATGAATAACAATTTCAGTCAACTAATGCTCAGCATCCCAGCAAGAAAAGACTACGACACCAGCATCTTTTCCCCAATATCTTAGAGAATGTAGCCAATTTTCTAACTGAACAAAAGAAAACACCCTTACTCTGGCTTTTTTCCAAGGCCCACCCTGCTCACTCCATCCCAGCCCACTCTGTTGCTTGCTCTCCCATATCCTCATTCCCTTATTTTCAGCCAGCTGGGGAGGGCTGGGAAGAATCCCTTTTTGACTGGGTGCTCAGTTGAAAACCGGATACCTGGCCACTCCAATCTGAGAACTAAATCGTGTACAAACAAGATCATGTTTACGCATACTTTCAGTGTTAGAACTTTGATAAGCCCATGGAGGTAAAGATTGGAAGACCCAGTTGAACAAATTGCCACATAAAAGGAAAATTAATATGACTGCTTGTAGCTATTGGGTGTTATTACACAAAGGGAAAAAAAGAGTTGACTATTTATTGTTAAGCAAGTGTGTCCAGTAAAATATATATAATGCAATATCCCATGAAATTTCAGGAAACAAAGGGATTTTGGACAAAAATTTAGCTAAAATATCTAAGACCAGCCCTTGAATTGTTGTAATAAAATCTTATTCAAAATTTTAAAAAACAGATTAAAAAAAAAAAAACCCAGATGTTGATTTGCTTTTGTGCCCGGGGCTGGATTTTCAGAGAGACTGAGTATTCACAAAGAGGTTATCAGTTTCGACTCAACTCCCTGGAAGTTGCATGTGATCATTAGCTTGAAAAAAATCAGGTCCCTGGTGTGAAGCTGTTACTGTTGTATTTCCGTTAATATTTCTTAAAGCAGACTCCCTAGTATGACTCACAGAAGTATTAATATTTTAGGATTTTGGTATTATATTAACAATGCTTAATTCTTTCTGTCTTGTTAAAATGTTAGTTATTAATATGTAAATATTATAATAGCAGGAAAAAATCTCCAGAAGTATTAATTTAGATTAATTAAGATTTTTGTGTAGTGCTGTGCATGACTAGATAATTACATGTACATTTAATTAGGTAAAAATGCATATCCCAGTGCATAGGTTAAGAGCTTCTTTTACACTGAGATTTTCAAAAGAGCCATAGTGAGTGAGGTGCTCAGAAATCATTGGAATTCAGAAGGATTTGGACATGAACTTTTCCAAAGCCATAATTTTATGAAAATCTTTGGAATTAAGGCTAAAAATATATGTCAAAGTCACAGGACCAGAGTCTGATTTCTTTTCTGAACTTTGCTTCATTGGGGCTGTTCATGCAAACGGGTATGACTTAGCATATGTACAGTTGGCAGAACTGGGTCATTTATTAATACAACTGCTTAATAAACAGAATATATGTGACTTTTCACCGGAGCAGTGCCCATCAGAAATCACAGTGCATTTAAAATGTTAAATAGTCAAGTAACTGGGATGGAATTCATCTTAGAGATATTCTGTTCTAAAACTTCAAAATGTAGGCTTCATTGAGGTTTCATTGAGAAATGCACTTATAAATTCACATATATAATATACGTAGATGAAGGTATATACGTCCCCCACATTTGTAGTGTGACACTATATATATATAAATTGTAATATATATTGCACAGTTTGAGAAGAAAAACACTTTTCCTGTTAAAGTTAACCAATGGATGATGATGAAAAATCTTACCAAAATTTGGAGGGACTTTATTGTAATGAAGTATGTGGTTAAAATGCAAAGCTGCTTAGTATTTATCAACTATTTCTAATATTATTATTTAAGGACTACTTACACTCTTATAAATTTCTGTTTTTCAGCTTCTCCTGCTAAGAACTTTCATGAACAAGAGAAGAGATTAGTAATGTTAATAACCTTCCCCCTATCAAAACAAAGAAACCTCCATATTCAACCTTAGGCCATACAATAGATGTAAGACAATAAGTGTTCGTGGACAATTCATATTCTGGCATGGTGCACTTTTTTAGGAGTAGCAATATAAATCTTCAAATTCAATGACAAAGGAATGAACATTCTTGTTACTGTTAATGAACTCACAATTTGAGAGAATAAAATCCCTCCTATATTGAAATGTGTACATCACCTTAATTTCTATCCGAAGGCCAAGCATCATTATGAACCTTAATGTGACTTCATCACTCATTCATAAAGCAGTAAAGCAGTAATTATAATGGTAAATTACACATACTGCTGATATTTTTCTTCACTGGATTAATGACTGAATTAGTGATTAGTTGTCAATAAAGTAATCAACAAATAATCAGCCTTGCAATAAGTAGGACTTAGATATATGGTATATCTCTTCAAGTATGTTTTATATAAACACTCAAAGAAGTGCAGAATCCCAGGAGCATATCTTTCAATCTACTATTGGCTTGTAAGACTTTTTTTAACTTTTTGATGCTAGTAACTGTAACTCTGAGACTACCACATTATTGATTCTTATGGAATGTTATCACTCGTTATTGGAATAATGCATTGAGAAACTGACACATGAATTTGAATGCTCACTAAAGTGTGCTACAATTGAGTTAAGCCTTTTCTAACAACTTATATGAGAAATATGTTTTGGCAGCCAGACTTCAATTTTGTAGAGCTTTTCAGGTTTTTTTAGAAGTGTATCATTTCTGTTGTCTCTGGAAATGTATGTTTCTTACCACCTAATTTTAGTGAGATGGGTAAGAAAAATCCATAGCAAAAATGTGTCAGTTCTGCAGCTGTTCAGATAGTCAGTCTGCAATTCATTGCTACATCTAAGAAACCAAGCTTTTTGCTGACTGTTACGGGCATGATATGCTTACATCTTGAATACTGCGTGCAGTTCCAGTCTCCCCATCTCAGAAAGATATAATAGAATCAGAAAAGATGCAGAGAAGGGCAACAACAATGATCAACAGTATGGAATGGCATCCATGTGAGCAGACATTAAAAAGGCTATGGCTTTTCAGCTTGGAACAGAGACAACTAATGAGAGATCTGATAGAGGTCGATAAAATCTTGAATAATGTGGAAAGAATGAATAAGGAAATTGTATTTAATAAGAACCAAGCGATACCAAATTAAATTAATAGGCATCATGTTTAAAAGGCGGTACTACTTCACATCAACACAGTCAGTCTGTGGAACTCATTGCCAGGGGATGTTGTGAAGGCCAAAATTATAACTGAGTTAAAAAAACAATTAGATAAATTCATGGAGGATAAGTCCCTCAGGCCTAGTCTACACTACAGTGGAAGGTCAAATTAAGATACACAACTCCAGCTACATTAATTACATAGCTGGAGCCGACTTATCTTAAATTGCATTTCCATGCCGTCCACACAGTGGAAGATTGACAGGAGCAAATGCTCCCTTCAGCTTCCCTCACTCCTCATGAGAAGCAGAAGCTCTGGTACTGATGGGGGTACCCTGTGAGTTCGATTTAGTGGCTCTTTACTAGACCCACTAAATCAAAATCCTGAAGATCAACCACAGCAGCATCAATCTTCCACATAGTGAAGACGTGACCTCAGTGGCTATTAAACAAGACAGTCAAGGATGTAGCCCCATACTCTGGGTATCCTAAGCCTCTGATTGCCAGAAGCTAGGAGTGGATGACAGGGGATTTTATCAATTAATAATTACCCTATTCTGTCCATTCCCTCTGAAAAAGTGTCAGCATTGGCCAGTGTCAGAACACAGGATTCTTGATTAGATGGACCACTGACATTCCAAAATAACATAGTCCACATCTACACACAAGCAGTTATTTCGACATAATGTTGAAATAACATTGAGCTGGAGGACTGCTTACTCTGACTCCTATAACCCTCAGGCTGTGTCTACATTGGCATCCCTTTCTGGAAAAGGGATGCTGATGAGACACTTTGGAATTGCAAATCTGCGGGGGATTTAAATATCCCCCACGGCATTTGCATTTACATAGCTGCCGCTTTTTTCTGGCTCTGGGTTTTTGCTGGAGAAAAGCGCCAGTCTAGACACGATTTTCCAGAAAATAAGCCCTTTCAAGTAAGAATAAGGGATCTTCCGGAAAAGGGCTTATTTTCCGGAAAATTGCATCTACACTGGCACTTTTCTCCGGCAAAAACCCCGAGCCAGAAAAAAGCAGCAGCCATGTAAATGCAAATGCCGCGGGGATATTTAAATCCCCTGTGGATTTGCAATTCCGAAGTGTCTCATTAGCATCCCTTTTCCGGAAAGGGTTGCCAATGTAGACACAGCCTCATTGTATGAGGAGTAAGGGAAGTTGGGGTAAAAGAGTGCTCTTTCTCAGACTTCCTGCTGTGTAAACAGCCAAAAGAGTTGAAATAAGCTATTTTGATTTAAATTATATAATTAGTATAGCTCAAGTAGCTTATTTTGAGGTTAGCCCTGCTGTGTAGAGGTGCCAAACTAAATTTTTGTGTTCAGATCTAGTCAACCAATCACATGAAAGATGTAGCAGAAATAGGAAGAGACTAGAGATAGCTGAAAGGTAAAATTTTCAAACAGAACTAAGTTACTTAGGAGCCTAAACTCTAATTGCAAATGTGAATGAGACACTTGGGAATCTTAAATGCCTAAATCTCTTTTGGAATATGACATAGGTGCTTTTGGAAAATGTAGATAACATTAGTTATAGGTATGGAGATCTTTTTCATGATAAGAAATTAGGACTAGGGCTTTTTTAACTAAATAATGAATGATGGGGAGAAGAGCACCTGGAACTGGCCGTTGTCAAATGACAAGATACTGGGCTGGATGAACCTTTGATCTGACCCAGTATGGTCATTCATATGTATTTAACTTGGGAATTCCTATTTATCTTCTTCTCACAATGCAAGATCAACTGGAAATCCAATAAAGTTAATAACGGTAAGTGGGAGTTAAGCTATTCACTTCAATAGGGTCAATATTTCATCCCATGAATCTGTGACAAAAACCAAGCATATAAATAGGCATATCATGGATTTATATCGTGGCATTGTGATATTTTCTGTCTTCTTATTAAACCCTTTCCAGATGGTTCCAAATATTCTGTCAAGATTTTTTTAATGGATGATGCATATTGAGCAGCTGTTTTTAGAAAACTCTCCATAGTGCCTCTAAACTCTTTCTTGAGTGGTAATAGTTAATTTAGACTCCTTCATTTTGTATATATAGTTAGAATTATGTTGTCCAGTGTGCATTTTTTTGCATTTGTTAATGTTGAATTTCATCTGTCATTTTGTTGCTGTGTTAACCAGTTTTGCGATATCACTTTGTAACTCTTAACAGTCTGCTTTGGACTTAAATATCTTGAATAATTTTATATTATCTGCAAATCTTGCCACCTCATTGTTCATCATCTTTTCCAAATAATTTATGAATATATTGACCACCACTGGTCCCAGTACAGATCCCTGGGGCATACTGATATTTACCTCTCTCTGTTCTGAAAAGTGACCATTTATTCCTGCCCTTTGTTTCCTATCTTTTACTAATCCATGAGACCACCTTTTTTCTTAACCCATGAATGCTTACTTTTCTCAAGATCCCTTGGTGAGGGACTTAGATATACAAAGTGAACTAACCTGGATCATCCTTGTTAGCCCTCAAAACATGTTTGTTGCCCCTCAAAAAATTCTAATAGATTGGTGAGGTATGATTCCCCTTTACAAAAGCTGGGTTGACTCTTCCCCAGCATCTTGTGTCCATCTATATGTCTGGTAATTCTGTTCTTTAGAATGATTTCAACCAACTTGCCAGGTACTTAAGGTAGTTTTCTTGATCTATCATTGCCAGGTTTGCCTCTGAAACTTTTTAAAAACTTAGCATCATATAAGCATCCTCCAGTCATCTGGTACAGAATGTCATTTAAGTGACAGATTAATCCATATCCATATGTTGCAGCTATTCCCTGTCTCTGTAAGAGTTATCCAAAACTCTGGGTCCAAACAATTCAAAAAATTAGGACCCAGATTTGAATCAGTATTTGTATCTGGGGCCTATGGTATCTGAATTGTGTTCTTAAAAATAAAGCAGAAAACTGCATTTTTTCCTTTCTTCCTCAAACTTAGCTGTTCTGCTTTTATGTCTTCTCTCTGCCTCAGATTTCATGAGACAATTGCTTCACATCTTTCTGACATTTTGGTTTACATAGGTCAATTTGTAAAATGTCAGTTTTCTCCCTTTCTGAAACAGGGAAAGGAGAAATAAATACATAGGAAAGTTATCTGACAGCCTCTTTTAGTTGTCATTTTGTTTCTGCTTTGTGTTAAGGGCTGCTAAACATTCATTTCACCTGTTATCTCTGTTTGGATTGACCAGATATGATTTAACAATCTCCATGACATTGTTCATTTGATCAATGTTTTTTAGAAATGGTACTTTTATGGGCTGTATTGAGTCACTGTACAATGAGAGCACAGTATGTTTTCTTGTTGTTTCTTTAGGCATAATAATGAATTATAAAAATCTATTTTAGGGAATTGCAAACCTATAATTCTATAACAAATGTACTTTGAATAATTTTGTCTATTTTTGTATTTATGTTTATAATTGTATGTAATTCTATCCATTTATAACTTTTCACTTTTCCAAATGTTGGGGTTATATGGACCTTGAGTTTGTGGAAAAATCAGATTGTGAAAATAACTTAAACCTAATATCTTCAATACTTGTTGCTAATAAAAACGGTTTCAAACAAATACTAAACTTTGAAGATGCAGTGCATATTTAAGAAACTTTTTAGGAACACTTTTTGAACATGAGATGTGTCAAAACTTACTGGTAATTTCGTGTGCATTAGATTCCAGATTCATCACTGTTTCAAGTCTGATAATTTAGCTCTTATCCGTCAAAAAAGAGAAAACTAAGGCTATATTTTATATTTTGTGAACCCTTTTTTTTGGCCTTTGAATATATTGGACAAAATAATTCAAGTTGCTGTGCAACTCCCCCACCCCCCAAAAAAGGTAAGTTAATTTTTGATTGTCTAACTTTGATGAGCTTAAAATTTATTTTCTAGGAGCCCTAATGCTATTGAAACTTACCAACACATGTTCACAGAAAGTAAACACAAGAAGATTCCTAGTTGGCCAGAACAAGTTATTTAAAATATGTAAACACCATTTCATGGGAAATGTATTTTAGTATTTGCTCAGCTCTAGTAAGAACATTCACCCGGGCCAGTTTCATTGTAACAACTATTCTAAAGTATTTGTTTCTGATCATTAGGGAGAATAGCTACAGTCTATGTAATGCCCATTTCTTGCCTATTAACATGTGTAGGCTCCAGATAAAATATTAATTTTTAAATGATCCTTCATATCAATAGGACCATTTTGAACTGGGTAATAAATAAATTGTACTGGATGTACTTTTGTACTTTTCAAACCATAAGGTTTGTGATCAGTTGAACTATAATGCAATGATGTCAGTACTTAGCCAGGACTCTGCATTTTAGTTTTGATGAAGCAAACTCTTTGGAGGAGAATTTGTGTCAAGTATGGCTGTGAGACACTGTGCTTGTGTCTTGGTGACAGTTTGGCAGAATACCTATTTGAATGCTAAAGTGTGGGTATGTCATGGGGTATATATACCTTATGCTTTCCCAGAAACCAGAGAGTCAATCCAGACACTGTATTGGCCATTGCTGATCAGCAGTCACGAAGCAGCTGAAAGGATAAAAGGGCTGGGAAGAGGTATGGGGGCTACTAGAGAGATGAGCAGACTGGAGAAAGGAACTCCAGTCAGTGGACAACTAAAACCAATGCCCCAGGAAGGGACAAAGAGA